AGCCTTCAAGAGAAATTCCCCCATGTCCATAAGCAGAAAATGATAGTTGCATATTCAAAAAATAAGAACTTAAATGATAATATTGTTCATAGTATGGTTTGGACTTAATCTATCGAACAGTTTTGGGAATTCTTTGAAATTCTCAACAACCACCATCCTTCTATCAAACTAACCGCAAACGTGAGTGACAAAAGCATAGACTTTCTCGATACCACAGTCTTTTAGGGAGATTCCATAGCAGAAACAAATAAACTGGTTATTAAAGTGTATTTCAAAGAAACTGATACTCATCAACTCTTGCACAAGAGCTCCTTTCACCCAAAACATACCTTTTCTGGTAAAATTAAGTCACAAGTTTTACGATTTCATCGAATTTGTACAAGATCTTCTGATTTCAACCATGCCTAACATCTAACATGTGAACATTTGAATGTAATATATTTAATTTCATGCACGAAATGCCCCAAACAATATGTAGGAGAAACTAAGAATAATTTACGAACTCGCTTTAATGCTCATAGGTCAGACATCAAATTAAAGAAAGACAAGCCTGTTTGTAATCATTTCAACCTCAACGACCATTCAATAGACGATCTCGCCCTAATCCCATTTGAGCGTATAGAAATTGACTTGCCCGAAGATGAAACTACCAAATTCCGTCAATCTAGGGAAGCCCATTGGATTGAGACATTGAATACAGCAATATTGTTATTTCTTCTAATGAGACAGAATTGTGATTTATGTAAGTAAAATACCCAATCTAATTCCTCGGATACTTTCTTTGGTTGAAAATGTCTATGTTTGGGCATATAAATTTGAAAATTAGTATTAAATTTCTTATTGAATTCACAGATTCTAGCACTTGTCATAACTCCTTTTCTGTTTGATTTTGAAAAACTGTTGATGAAATCTTGAAATTCTCTCGTGTAGTCTTCGTTTAAAACACGATTAACGCACTTTACAAAGCAGTATCCATCGCTCGGTATATAACAATTTATACCGCTATATTCATTTATCTTTTTGAGTAGGGTAACACCACTACCCTTTTTTGATCTTTTTATTTCTTTGAAATTGTTTTTACGTAAAATCATTTTTCCTGTGAAATACCAATCAGAAGCATCTGATTTATTATCCACTGCTGCGAAGAAATTGCGAAAAGTTTTAGCATTAAAACCTACAAATTGCATGTATTTTTGTGATTTCCATCTTGAATTATCTCTCCATCTAATTCAATTTGCTCTTTAAATGTTAAAAATTCATCAGTGATAAGCTTAATAACATTGGAAAAAAGTTCATTTGATATGAATTTTTCATTGTCTAAAATTTCAATTTTATTCATATTTTTAAGCAACTATTTTTAACTAGGAATTTTTAACTTTTATTGATGATATTTCTACATCAAATTTATCTCAAATTTCAATGAATTCTTCTAATTCTTCAATGGTTATGTCCTTATCTTCTCTCGATCTTTCGAAAAAAATGAATAATTTATTAAGATATGTATTTAAAATTTCTGTTTTCTTTTTATAATAAGCTGTAAAAAGTGTATTACATTCTGATAAAACACATTCAATAATATTTTGAACATAAATTTACATTTCAATTTAAAAAATTTAAATTTAAGAAAGCGTAAATGCTTGTCTACATCTAAATTTCTTAATCTTCTATCAAATTCTTCATCATCATCTTTGTTTTCGAGAATTTCATTCATTTTTGAAGTTCATTTTGATAAAACCTTCCTTTGATTTGTTCTTTGTCTTGATCGATTAATTCATATGTCGGAGGTGATATGCTGTTTACTTTATCAACGATGAATATTTCGTTTGTCCAGTATACAACGTAACCTTTTTCGAATTTGCTTTTATATTTGAAAATAAGAACTCGATCTCCGACTTTAAATTTGGGTTTAATATTTAAATTCTTTATTTCATTTTCGTAGTTATGTTGCGCGTTAATTGACTTTATAATATTTCGATTACTCGAGGCTTGTGTTGGTGTGACACCTATAGATGAATGAATTTTGTTATTGTATTCATCTACAATCTCTGGTAATATTTTAAGCCATTTTTGAGATTTCAATTCCGTGAACTTTTTGAATAATTTATTTTTTAGAGTCCTGTTAAATCTTTCTATTACTACAGCCTTACCTTCGTTATGCGTGCTGTAAATTTCAAATCCCAGAGATTTCATATTTTTGTTATAAAATTCACTTCCTTTATCTAACCACAGTTTTTCTGGATGTCGGTTAGATTGTTTCATAATCGTTTCAAATGCGTGTTTGACTGATAATCCTGTTTTGCTTTTCAAAGGAATAACCCATACATATCTCGTATACAAATCTATAACTGTTAAGCAATATTTAAATCCTCTTTCGACATATTAATTTAATCAGCTGACCATATTTCATCTTTTTCAAACACTTTAACTTTTAAAAAGTTTTTAGTTTTTCTAAATTCTTTATGAATTTCATCCGCCAATCCCATGCCTAATTTCATCTTTGCTTTTAACAGTTTAATGATTAATGCTCTTTGCATTCTCTCTTTGAAAGTTGGATTTGGAATATTTTCAAGTTCGATTATCATTTGTCTGTCTGCTTCGTGTCTTTGTTTCTGTATAGTATGTCGTGTTTAAGCGCAGCGGCGTCAACTCTAATGACTGGTTCTTCCCCTGGTTTGGGTTTATCGTTTTCGTCTAATCGCAGATCTAACCTAGTACCTGGACCAGTGTAATTATGACCGGGAAGATGTTTTTCTCCGGGATATTTCGCCCATGGAAATCCAGGAAGATAACCCAATGATTTTTGTATATCTCCTGAACCGAAATTAGTTTTTGAAGCGTGAGCGACTATCATTTTTATCATATAACTTTAAAACCTTTTCCTTTCCTTTCTTCTAATCTCCTGTTTCGAAGTTCTCTTATTAGCTGTAATTCTTTCAACTCGTTAGATTGTTTCACTGCGTCGCTTATACTCTTTCCCGCTTGCGCGATTGAGCCGACGGCTTTCGCTCCGGTTGAAATGAGAGATTTGTTGTTTGAAACCAAGCTAGCTACATTTGGAATTATTTTTGAACCTAGAGAAAATATTGATGAAAAGATACCGTCGACCGAATAATCTTCGAATTTGTGTTGTTCGTGTTTTAGAATTAAACTCATCCTATTTTTAAATGAGTTAATTTAACGAAGAAATTGTGGTCTGTTTTTTTTTCCAAAAAAGAGTTATCTCCCTTCTAGAAGTTTCTAGACTAAAAATAACATTATTTAAAACGAGGCTATTAAAAAACCGGATGTTAAGCGAAACAAGGATGTTATTTTATATAAGGGTATTTTTAATATGCTTTTTTTGGTGGAATGTAGGAAATTGATTGAAGGTGTTTTTGGTGTATGAAATGTAAGGGTGTTTAGGTCTTTTTTTAAGTGTAAGAATTTATGAAATGTAGGGTATTTTTTAGTGTAAGAATTTTATTAAATGTAGGATGCTTTGCTGTAAGAATTTATGAAATGTAGGGAGTTTAGGTCTTTTTTGGGAGATTATATATTGGTCGCATTGTCCCCATGAAATGAAATGGAATGGGGAATTTCCATGAAACCAATCCATAAGCTCATACACTACTAATGTAAACATAGAACTGTATAGCCTATTGTCAGTAGTCTGACATACAGTTCTGTGATGTAAATAAGACTCAGTCAGACCGTAGCCGTACTAGTGTCAAGTGGCTTCCGAAGAATATAGACATATCACAATGACAAATATTTCAAACAAATATTTCTTTTCAAAAAGAAAACTTATCTAATAAAGCAAATGAAAACACTTGCCGGAGGATGTAAATTCGACGAAATCTCTGTAACTACGCTGGACGAAGTAAGCTCCCACCGCATCTCCCTTCAGTGATTTCCGCCTTTTCACAGCAACAATCCACTTCTTTCGAAGCTTCTTGTCGATTGGTGACAAATACCCTCCTCTATTTGAACATCCAGGAACACAACAAGTTTTAGGTATGTCGTAATCTGAGATCTGTAGCTGTCAAACAATATTACTAAAGCGTACGGTCGACTTCCGGGAACCTAGTCGGTGGAGCCATCTTCAGGGGCAGATAATCCGTGTTTGGTTTCCCATTATCTCAGCAAAAATTAACACTAACTAAAGAAGTAAGAGGTGTGAATTCAAAAGGAGCTGAAATTGAGGTTCGTATAACTTTATACCCCCACCTCATTCTTTTAATGTACCCCTACCCCATTGCCGAATAATATTCAAAGTAATATTTCTATATCCCAGGACAAGTACAATACCTCTTTGTTGGGATTGTCAGCAACCGAGTCATAAAAGATGAAGTATTCTTTGCCCTTTAAACCCCATCAGGTCTATTTAACGGGGCAGCCTGAAGATCTATATAGTGTTTCAGTCACTCCTATAGATGATTTGATAGATGATAAGAACGTTTCATCATTGTTCATTAATGGAATTATTGTCGACGATTGCAGAAGATCGGTATAGCCGTTATTTTTCAGAATTTCAACTTTTTCATTTGCATGACTTAATTAGGATAAATTCAGCATGTGGTGGTTCTGTTCCGTACATTGGCTATATTGAGGTTCCCATATCGGTACCACGCACAAATATTGAACTAGTTGTTTTATTTATTGTTGTTCGACAGTTCCTGTTATTGTTCGTAATAATACCCTTTCTAGGCAATTATCTTTGTATAATTGTGATGTAAATAATGTTGATGAGTGTTGGAATTCTGCTTTTCAGTGTATTTCAGGTTTACTTCGTGATTCTGATAATGTATATACTTTGAAATCTTCAAAAGAATATCAATATTGGTCCTGTGTTTCAATTTCTGGTGTTTGTCATTTACCAAATCGGTTCCAGGAAAACTACAAAATGATTCAAATAATTCTATCTTTCTTCCAACACACTCGGTGGTGTGTCAATTATCTCAAGTAGATCTTCTGCTTCTGTCAAAGATTCAAAGTTTTCATCCATTGTAGACTCTCTGGATATGTCTAATTTTAATGATCAGTTTTCTAGTAGTGAAATTCGCAAGATTAAAGATTTGATCTACAGTTATAAAGATGTTTTTAGTTTATCAGATATGGATAAAGGTAGGACATATCTCGTTAACATTCAATTTCTCTCTCTGAAAATACATCTTTAATATGGAAGGCCATTCAAGACAGAAGTCTTTGTTTGTTATTAGTAACTGGGTCCGTCAATTTCTGATTTTTCATTCGTAACTTTCTCTGTCATTGCTTCGTTTCTCATGAACTTGTTGATTAGTAACTGTCTTCTTCTTCCATCTCTCGTGACATCGTTATTAATCGCCGGTTTATGATTTATTGGAACATGCGTTATTAGTAGCTATCTCGGCCATTTCTGATTAGTAGCTGGACGTGTTCTCAGAAATTAGTACTGGTACGTTCGGGACTATATGCATATTTTATGACGTCATCGAGGCGGGGTCAGATACGAAACGAAAAAGAACAACTTCAACATTAATACGACCTTCACCTTTTGAGTAGATTTTTATGAGATGAATTCACGTGTTTTGAATTTAGTTTAGAGCTTGGCCTATTGCATCGACAAAAAATTAGGTAATGTATAGATCTTGGCATGATAGGTATTCAAATTGTTACTTATAGACAATATTATTAATCTCTTTTCTGTGCATTTTGAGTCTGTATTATATATGAAGTCTTAAAGAAATTATCCTGGTTACGATTTTCATACATTTCTTAAGAAGTTAGAAAGTAAGGGTTCTATTATTTGAATATATTTTTTGAACTTTTAAACACATAAGTCTAGAAACTTTATTTTTATTTTGTAAGTTCCATTGCAATGATCGACATCGCAGGTGTCACTAGCAAGGCAAGGCATGCTCACCACTGCGACTGCATTTGTCAACTCGGCTGCCCTTGCGGAGAGTCAACATTGCTAATTTTGTTTCTGTGGTATTTTAGGTTATGTACATGTAACATTCATTGTGTTTATTTAATTCACATATACATTGGTTTTGCCCTCATTTGTGACTTTCTGCTGTTGGTGGATATAAAGCTGCCATTGCTGTGAATATTTCTTACTCTATTGTAGGGGGAAAGATTGAAACCCAATGGCTGAATCCAGAAGAGCCCTATGTAGATACACGAGTTGTTTCTATGGAAGATTTTTTACAAGCTACTACTGGAAGCAGAGCAATTGTAAAGAATGCAGCAACTGTCAACACTTGTGCTCCTTCTATAACTATTACCCAAACAGAATTAAATCAAGATTATTGTTTTTTCGAAAACTCAATGATCAATATAACTGTGGCATATGGCTTCGGGATTAATTAATATTTGACTTCATTTGATTGGATATTTATTATGTTCGTTCGTTAATAGTTCAAGGAATGAACTTTCTTGTGATTATTTTCAAATTGCCCTATACAATGTACTTTTAGAGATATGACCTCTTGAACCTAGGCAAATTCACCATTTTGATGTATTTACTTTTGTATGTGGACAATAAAAATTATGTCAAACAATATTCGATCATTCCGCTTTCATATGATTTTATGACTGTACTGAATAACATGGTTTTGTAGATATGGGGAGTTGAATATAGGTAGGGTTGGAGATTTTGTCCTGAATGATTTTTTAAAACTATTGTTCTTCTTAATGAAGTTTGTAAATTTCATTTTTTGTTGTATTTGTTCATAAATTGACAGTGATGTTGTAGATTTACGAAATTTTAATAATTCTGTAACGAAACATGTCTTGCATCGTATACAATTCTAGTTTATTTCAATAATTGATATTACAATGTGATTAGGATCGTTATCCTTAGTTTTGCTAATTTCTTAGTGAGGTTCATATTTTCTAATTATCACATAAATAAGGTTTATATTAAGTAATACAGAAAATATTATGTTTGTTTAAACAATAAATCATTTTATTAACCGTCATTTTACATATTTTATTTTTTTTCTAAAACAATGTTAAACATTTAGAACAAATAATGCTCAATGGCCACTGCAGAATTTTTAAGTAGTTCCAAGTTCAGACCTGATACTTGCAAAGTAGGGAACAAATCATATTGTCCAGAAATTTTAGTCATTGCTGTCTTAATGATGAAAACATGATTCAATTCATAGGATTTAGTTCAAACCATCAATGTCCATCTGGTCTTCCAATGCACTGAGAACATCTAAATAATTATCAATTCCAAAAGAGGTAGATTCCCTAAACCTAATTTGATCCAATGTATGATGATTCATCCTAGTTTCCGGAACAATAACTTCATTGTTTTCTGTTTCAAAACTACAAATGTCTGTATCAAAATCTATTGCTTCCATATCAAGTTCTTCCCGAAAATTACAAAAAGAACTACAGGTTACATTTATGACATAAAAGATAATCATGCAATACAACGCAATTCTTGTCCGATTTTCTTAAAACTTGATATATTATATATGTAATGAGGAAGAACCCTTTGCAGCACCAACAGGGACATTCATAAATTTTCTTCTTGTTTTGTCTTGTTTACAGGCTGTTTATGAAAGTATGTACGCATATAACACATAACCTTAGGAAGACTTTTATCTAGTTTGGTTCTTTCAGATATTAATCAGGACAATAATGCAATTATCAATATTTTTTGTTTGTCAAGAATTTCTGTGTTAACTTATAGCCACATTTTTAAACCGCTTGACATCAAATATGGCAGACTACTTGTTCATGATCTTATGATGGATCTTAAAGGGAAACTATCCTCTATTTAATCGATGATTCATCTAATAGATTGTGTTTTCCTCATCTCAACCCACCCAGCAAAAAAAAAAAAATTTCCATGTGGGCGTATAAAAATATTTCAAATTGAATCAAAATAGCAATGGCCCATCGTAATACGCCCACCATTGGCAGCCTTAGTCATTCGGGCGGTGGACAAGAGCTATCAGTAAATGAAATATTTAAAATGTAACATTTTCATACTGCACAAGGTTCTTTCAAAGCCTTTTATTTTATTTTCAACAAATTTCGTCTAAATCAATTTCATCAAAATCTATCAAGAAACAATTTCTCTGTCATGTATACAACAAATTTTCGAGAACAAGGGCAATAACTCAATAAACATTTTTCGATTGGTCTGATTTTCTATAGGCTTTATCCTTAGGTGATAACAAATATTCACACCAAATTTCATCAAATATCCATCATGAAACAAGTTCTCTATTGTGTCCACAACAAATTTTCAAGGACAAGGGCAAAATATTTTTCGATTGGTCTGATTTTCAAAAGGCTTCCTCCTAAAGTAATCACTTACATTCCCACCAAATTTCATCAAAATTCATCAAGAAACAAATTTTCCAGAACAAGGGCAATAACTCATTAAATGTTTTTCGATTGGTCTGATTTTCAATAGGCTTTATTCTTAAGTGATAAGAAACATTCACACAAAATTTCATTAAATTCCATTAAAGGGGATCAGTCTTCATTTTCATTGGTTGATTTGGGTCTTGAATATATTTAAGTATCCTTCAGAAGCACTAGAAATGTACGAAAATTGTATATTTCCTTCAAATATACCTTAAATTAGAAATTTCTCCTTCTATTTCTATAGATGACTTTTCTATATATTGCATAGGATATTATAACTTTCAAATGCTAATAATTATGGATGCATATGGATTTGAAGGCTCAAATTTCAATGGTGAGTTGTGATAACCAGTACTAAATTGCTGAGCTACAAAAATCCCCATTTCTGAGACTCATCCAAATCGACCCACGAAAATGAAGCCTGTGCCCCTTTAAGAAACAAGCTACCTATAGTGTCCACAACACATTTTCTAATAAAATTTGAACGTGTTTTCAAGAACAAGGGCAATAACTCATCAAATTTCAGTTATATTTGATTGATTTTCAATAGGGTTCATCTTTAAGTGATAACAAGCACGCATACCAAATTTCACACATTAATGTGTGGGCGTATAAAAACTGGACCTTCTTGAGTCAGAACAAGTAAAATGCAGACATACAGTGATCACAATATACGGCACACATTATCATGCTGTTATACAAAGAAAATGATAACCTTTGATTGTGAACACTACGTCCGGTAATAAATGAACCAATTCCACGTTGTCTCAGCATATATGATGCCACTTTTACATTTTCACCTCCCTTGTCTGATCTAACTCGTTCTGGCAAACCCCATCTTTTAACTGCTTCCATAAAAGCTGTATAAACTGTATCAGAAGTGTTATTGGTACTGACTTGCAAAAACACAGGAAGCCTTGAGTAGCCATCAATGCCCCCATGAATTACAAATCTCCATCTACAATATAACAAATAGATTATACAGTCTTTAACTAAATGGATTTTAAATTCAACATCATACCAGATATCATTAACATGTTTAATGAATAAGACAGATATTTATTGAACATGCAAGAAATTTGAATCTAAATTATATGAAATCATTATACATAGTATGAATATCCAAATTTTCAAATCCATATGTACTGTAGTCTCTACACACTCATCATAGAAGTTTGGAAAATGGCATCAAACGCAAGAATGACAATTCTTTAAAATAATATTAAAAAATACCTTATTAATTTATGATTTCCATCGATGTGCCAGAGGGCATTGGGGGCCCTTACATTATAGCACCTTCTATGTATACGGTTCACATTTAGAAAAAGTCTTCTAAACAAAACTCCCTCTGGATCTACCAAACGACAAGCATCACTTATCCTAGATCGTGAAACATAAATGCCATCTGCTTGGAGAAGGGCTCTCACAGTCCTATAACCAGCATGAGGAAATTGCTGTTTCCTCTTTTCAATTTCTGTGCAAAGGTCTACATCTGAAATACTTCTGAACAAATTTGCATGTATTCCATAATCTGCCATATTCCTTGATATAGTTTACATTTAATATACGTGTGTTGTGTCGTAAGGACGGCGTAGCATAAGCAGGACAGGAAGAATCGAATATAAACAAATAAACTTTAATCATCAAATTCAGACATCATGGCGGTTACATACATGTGTGTACTACTTTCTTGTATTCATACGCATCATAGAAAAACATAGTCCATAAAGGAAAAGCAACTCCAATTAAGTATACGAGTGAGATTAATAAGCAATATAACATATCCCCCTCCCGAAGATTGATGCTCAATCTATAAGGAAAATAACGAAATACAATGTAGCAATTGCAAGAGAAATAACTTAAACTGAAATGCATAACCTTTGCAAAGTTAACATTGAAATCAATAGCATGCAAATTGTAAACATCAATAGTAAACGAAGTCTTTATCCTTGGTATGTGTTGATACTCGATTAGATTTTCGAATAATATCACTATTAGATGCACAATTTGAACTAGTATTATTATGACTAGTATCACTTTTACTTGCCAAATTACACAAAGATAAATGCTTAGAATTCCAAATTTTTCCATCACTTAACTTATATGTATTATCACTAACTTTCTTGATAACTTTGAGTGGTTGTGTATATCCAGGATTTCCTTTTAGAGGTTTTATAGGTTTACGGATACGAACGTAGTCACCCGAAGCAATGTTCGAACTCTTACAAGCACGATGAGAATCAGAATACGTTTTCATAGCACTTTGCTTATGTTTAACACGTTCACGTACGGTTTTATCACTTGAATCACATAAATTAGCAGGTTGAAGAACATGTAGTAAGGTTTTCATTTCACGACCATGCATTAGATCTGATGGAGCGATACCAGTAGTAGCATGGGGCGTAGCACGATATATAAACAAGAAATTTCGAACAGCAGATTTCCAAGGTTTCTGTTCAATAACGGCAGATATAACAGTATCTTTGAGACATCTGTGGAAACGTTCGAGTGCACCATTACATTGCGGATAATAGTTAGATGTTCGTAAATGAATAATATTACGTTGTTTCAAATAATCTTCAAAGTCTTGAGATACGAATTGAACACCATTATCACTAAGTAAATGATTAGGATAACCTTCTCTTGAAAAAATTGTTTCTAGAAACTCAAGCACATTTTCAGTAGTTATGTTAGGCATGAAACTAACTTCCGGCCATTTTGAATAATGATCTATCAAAGTCACAGCATAGCGATTTTGCATTGAAGCACTTTGAAATGGTCCAACAATGTCAATAGATACACGATCCCAAGGTTCTTTAGGAAACGGTATAGGTTGCATAGGTGCAGTATGTGTAGTAGCTGTCTTGTCGTGCGACTGACACGTAACACAGGATTTTATTGCAAGTTCTACTGCGTTATCCATACAAGGCCACCAATACAGCAAACGTAGACGCTGTTTAGTGCGGACAATGCCTTGATGACTCTCGTGGGCAAGTTCAATCAAGCGTGGTTGTAAAGATGCTAGCACAGCAAGGCGATTTTGTCGAAAAATCAAGTTGTCCTTGCAGGCTAGTTCATTACGAACGTTGTAGAACGGCAAAAGTTCCGAAGGAAGAATTTTCTTATTCGGCCAATTGTCTGCGATTTGTTGACGAACTTTTCCAAACAACTCAGACTGTTCACTTGCAGCTTGTAGTTCAGCAACGGAAATGGCTTGTAATTGACTATCTATGATGGCAATCATTTCCGAGTCAAAATCTTCTTCTTTCGAATCAGAGTAAGGTAAGGGTAGGCGAGACATACAATCTGCAACAACGTTGTCTTTACCTTTTTTGTATTCTACATCAAAAGTATACACCATTAGGCGAGCAGCCCATCTGGAAAGTCGCATACTTGAACGACCAAGACCTTTCGAAGTAAAGATAGTCTTTAAGGGCTGGTGGTCAGTGCGTAAAACAAACTTACGACCCCATAAGAATAAACGCCATTTTTCTATTCCCCAAACAGAAGCTAGGGCTTCTTTTTCAATCGTCGAATAACGTCGTTCACAATCACTTAGAGTGCGAGATGCGAAAGCAACAGTACGTTCACCAAATTCCGGATGAAGTTGAGTAAGAACTGCTCCTAAACCGTAATTCGAAGCATCAGTAGAGATGTAAGTTGGCAATGTAGAGTCATACGAAGCAAGGATTGGACTGGCAGCAATAAGTCCTTTAAGTTTGGTAAAACTCTTTTCAGCTGAATTATCCCACAGGAATTTGTAGAATTCCTGGTTAACCGACGTAAGGGTTCTGTTATTGTACTGAAATTAGGAACAAACCTAGAGTAGTAAGTAGCTGTACCAATAAAAGAGCGAACAGCTGTAGCATCAGTCGGTGTTGGTGCTGAAATAATAGCTGTTACCAGTTCTGATCTAGGTGATATTCCAGAAGCTGAAATAGTATGTCCTGAAAAGTTTATACTGGATTGTCGCAATCTACACTTATTCAGATTTAATTGTAACTTATGTTGATTTATTCTATGGAGTACAGCACTCAATCGTTGATCGTGTTCCTCCATATTACCACCGAAAATAGCAATATCGTCCAGAATACATTTTATACCTGGCAAGTCACCTAAAATTGTTGACATCATCCTTTGGAAAAAAGCAGGTGCAGAGGCAAGTCCGAAAGGAATACGACAAAAACGATACATTCCTTCGTGTGTTATGAAGCAGGTTAGATTACGACTGGACTCATGAAGTGGTATCTGATGATAGGCCTCTTGCAAGTCAATAACACTGAAAACAGTAGCATCCTTAAAGTCAGATAAAAGTTCATCAATATGAGGTAGTGGATGTTGGTCTACAACAATCGCTTTATTTGGTTCTCTGCAATCTAAACACAAACGAATACCGGTTTTCTTTTTTACGACTAAAATATTAGAAACCCAGGGTGAAGCATCACATTTTTCAATAACAGCCAATTTTTCCAAGCGTTCCAGTTCAGATTTAACACTATCACGTACAGTTACGGCGCAACTTTTGTAGCACTGGTTTAGCATTAGTATCAACCATAACTTTATGTACAAATGAGTCCACTACTGTATTGACAAGTACAGAGTTTGAAGAAATCACAAGACCCAATTTCTTTATTACGTCCATACCAATAAGAGCGGTATCACCGTATGTAATAAATACAGTCACATTTGCAGTTATATTCTCAAAGTCAATAGCAGCTTGCATACACCCAACAACATCAATAGCATTTCCTTGATATGATGTTAAATTCATAACAGGTTTAGAAAGTAAGGCAGTAGAGAAATGCTGTTGGTAAATTTTATGAGGCAAAGTTGTAACTGCCGAACCTGTATCGAGCAACATATTTACGTCAGATGATTCTCCAGTAGGTGTAGAAATATGAAACATACGGTATAATTTAGTATTAGCAGCAGTATTGACCGTAAATATGAAAACAGGATCCGTAACTGAATCTTCCATCTGAATTTGACACTCATTTCTTACAGTGTGTACATTACTTTGATCACGAGTTTTTACAGTGTATTGTTTACATTGATCTGTTTCGCACGTGCCTAATTCTTCACTAGAACTTGAACTGTCAATTGTATTCACCGAATCTTTTTCACGTGCAGACATACAAACTTTTGCAAAATGACCATGTTTACCGCATTTTGAACAAATAACACCTTTTGCTGGGCAATCGGTAGAATTCGCGAGATGTTTTGGGGATCCACATCTGTAGCAAGTTTTCTTTTCAGATTTAGACGAATTCTGTGTACCGGATTTTTCCGATTTGCGATTACGTGAAAAATTAGTTTTAGACTTTGTATTCAAAGAATTAACATTTCCTGGAGGAGAATTTGTACCCGTAGTACCAGTAAGCACTTTCGATTCACGTATGCCGGCTTCAATGGAGCGAGCAAGTTCAACCGCTCGTTGTAAATTTATTTCCGAACCTTCAGTTAACAAGCGTTCACGAATTTTCCGATTGTTAGTCTTTTCAATAAGTTGATCACGTATAATTTCATCGGCCATAATCCCCAAACTACATGTAGAGGCTAAACCGTGCAAAGCAGTGACAAATTCATCTATAGTTTCGCCGGGTTGCTGGCTTCGTCCGCGAAATTTTGACCTTTCAGAAACCGTATTCAATTCTGGTTGAAAATATTCTCGTACCGCTTGCAAAGATTCTTTAAATGTGTCACCTGGACAGGGAAAATTGTAGAAAATTCTTTGGCCCTCAGTGCCTAAGCAATGAATCAATAAAGCTCTTCTCTTTCTATCTGGCATACTTTCTGCAGAAATCAGCTCTAAATAATTCGTAAACATGCGCTCCCACACCCTCCATTCAATAGTAGGTTTACCTGGTGATGGTTTGTAGGCTGGAGGTAGTGGTATACTTGGTTTGTAATTGTAGAATGTATTACGTGCAGCAGGCTCGTCACTGTATGCAGGTAACGATGTGAGAGTTTCTCGGAATAATGTAGGCATATCCGATGTAGGAGAATCCATTTTGTAGTATCAAACTTGTTTACCTCGTCGCCAATTATGTTGTATCGTAAGGACGGCCAAGCGTAGCATAAGCAGGACAGGAAGAATCGAATATAAACAAATAAACTTTAATCATCAAATTCAGACATCATGGCGGTTACATACATGTGTGTACTACTTTCTTGTATTCATACGCATCATAGAAAAACATAGTCCATAAAGGAAAAGTAACTCCAATTAAGTATACGAGTGAGATTAATAAGCAATATAACAACGTGCCACATCAACTACACTGAAATTTTTTCATGAATCATTTCCTCTAAAAACCATTGTGGTATGAAAAATTTGGGTCTTCATCCAGTAGATGGTAATTGCTTTGGTTGTTTAAAAAAATACTCATTTTGAACATACAATTGTTGTGATATAATTACATACGCCTGTTCAAATAGTTTTCTAATGTTTTCAACGTCTGATATTGTTGATAACTGTGTCATCATTTCAAGAGTACCCTCCATGTCATCAACTATATCTTAACAAACTGTAGGCTGATTGCTTAGAGATGATATCAATCTGTTTATTTTCTGTCTCAGAAGTGTTTTCATTTCTGTTATGTCATCATGATCCATATTGTAGCTATATTATATATTCTCTTTAAAAGTTTTCAAATAAAAGTAGTAGTGTATAGTATAGTACTAGAAGGAATGGTTTTAGTTTTTAAATTTAATTTTGTTTGCACTTTTTGGCCTAATAGGATTAAGAACATTGAAATAACTAACAAAAGTTATATTCCAAACGTATGTTTGTTTACCCAAAAGGTGAAGGTCGTATTAATGTTGAAATTGTTCTTTTTCGTTTCGTATCTCACCCCGCCTCGATGACGTCATAAAATATGCATATAGTCCCGAACGTACCAATACTAATTTCTGAGAACACGTTCAGCTACTAATCAGAAATGGCCGAGATAGCTACTAATAACGCATGTTCCAATAAATCATAAACCGGCGATTAATAACGATGTCACGAGAGATGGAAGAAGAAGACAGTTACTAATCAACAAGTTCATGAGAAACGAAGCAATGACAGAGAAAGTTACGAATGAAAAATCAGAAATTAACAGACCCAGCAACTATTAACGAATGAAAAATCAGAAATTGACGGCTCCAGTTACTAATAACAAACGAAGACTTTTGTCTTGAATGGCTTTCCATACTTTAAAGCCTTTTATGTATCAGGAAGTTAAATACGTAAATGCTTCATATTAATCTCATTCGTCCTTCTGAAAGTCCCTTCTGTTAACCCGTAGTATTAGTACGCAAGAAAGATAATCTCTTCCTTATTCTTTACCCCGTATAGAGGAAACCCCAGATTTCAGTTCATTAGATCTTCGTTCTGGGTATTGGCAATGTGAGCTTGCGGAAGAAGATAAGCACAGGACTGCTTTCACAGTTGATCCTCTTGGGTTCTATGAGTTTAACGCTTTGCCATTCGGACTTACAAACGCTATGCTGCGTTTCAGAGGCTTATGGATCGGTGTATGGGTGATATGAACCTAATGCAATGTCTTATTTATCTTGATGATATTATTGTATTTTCCAAGTCTTTTCAGAAACATTTAGAGCGTCTAGAAGCTGTATTTATTAAACTTCGTGAAAATAATCTTCGTCTTAAACCCTCTAAGTGTCATTTTCTTCAAACTTCTATCAAGTACTTGGATCACATTATTTCCGAGGAAGGCATTCACACTGATCCAGATTAACTTTCTGCTTTGACTTCTTGGCCAGTCCCTTCAAACATAGAAGAAGTACGAACATTTCTTGGTTTGGGTGGTTACTTTTACCAAACCTGTAACTGATTTACTTATAGGTCACTCAACTAATAAGAAGAATAATAAAGATGTTCCAGTATTTTCGTGGGAATCAGATCAACAATCATCTTTTCAACAATTAATTGATTATCTAACGTCTTGTCCAGACACTCAATATATCTCAGTACATGAATATTAACATTCAAGGGAGGTAACCATAGTTCAGCTCAGACCATTATAATGTCAATTATCTAACATCTCCCCTTTTAAAGAAAGTAAATTACATTAAACTTTGAACACAAACTAAATTTAAACTGATTGTTCTAATCATCAAATTGAAGCTATGCACTGTCTATAATTCAATTAAACATTATAACGACTCGGGCGTCTAACAATCGACCACTTCTTGTTTGGTTTTGCACATGGTTTCGGACTACCATATCAGGTTGATTAACATCAGGAGGTCTATCGTTATAAATTTCATCTGGGACATCCTCGTCACTGAGTCTGATGAATATATTTCTGTTTGACGTTTAGATTTTATAGCTTCAGTTCTCGAACTTGATACTGGTGTATTGGTAGTTGTTTTAGAAGTAGTAACCTTCTGAATGTGTCGACGATTTCTTCTGAATTGACCATCAGCTGTTTTAACCATGTATGTTCTATTTTTACTCCTTTCTTTGACCATGTTTTATCAGTATCAATTTTTAATCTGACTGGATCACCTTCTTTTAAAGTTGATAATGGACGAACACCATGACGTTTATTATAGTGATATTCACAATCATTCTTCTTTTTCTCATCCTTCCTTTTTACATCATTATAGCTAGGCCATTTAGATGGAAGTGATGTTAATTCTGTTCTAATATTTCTTCCTATCGTAAGTTGTGATGGAGAATATCCTGTTGATAGTAGTGGTGTAGTACGATAAGCACTCAATGCTTGAAATATATCGTCTTGAAGTAGAATAGATTTAGCTATTTTCACTCCAGCTTCACAATGTCCTTGTTGATTCTGGCAGTGTAAAGTCTCTAAACTCTTTTGATGAAAATTCAGGACCATTGTCACTCTCCTCAGGATCACCCCATCTTGAAAACATGTTGCGAAGTTTTCCAATTACACTAGTGGTTGTGGTAGTGTGTAGATAGGCAATTTCTACATATCTCGAATAATAGTCTGTCACCACTAAATAGTGTTTGCTTTTATATTCACACAAATCGGCAGCTATTCTCACCCATTGACCTTTGGGTAATTCAGCCGTTGTCAAGGCTCTTTTCTTTGTGTAGGTTTATACATGTGACAGAATTCACACTTATAGATATATTTGGCCACCATACACATTCTCTTGCTCTCTCACGGCATTTGGTAACACCTTGGTGTCCATTGTGTATGTTGTTTAAAGTTCGCTCTCTTAGGCTTTCTGGAATTACAACTCTCTGTCTATGTACTAGAAATCCTTGTAGTACAGATAAATCTTCTCTAGCTCTAAAGTAACATCTAATATTGTCTTGAACTTTTGATTTTGATTTCGGCCAACCATTTGTATTAGTCAATCTTTCTGGCAAGCTTCATAAATTTCTTTCAGTAATTTACCTTTTATTGGTAGATTCTGTAGATATTGTTCAACATCGTTTTCTAAGATTTTAACTTCAATTTCAGTAGTATCTTCCAGTGGAGCTCTGGACAAAATATCAAACAATCATATCCTTTCCAGCCACATACTCTGCAAATGAATTAAATCTTCTTAGTCTCATAAGTAACCTCATGATGAACATTCTTTTTGTATCTGCGCCCATTTCTTCTCACATTCTGAAAGTGTTCTGGACTAAATGCTACAGGTTTTAAATCTTGACCATCTCGCACCAACACTAAAGCTACTGGCATCAGCACTTACTACTATTGGTTTGCTTTGATCACAAAATGTTAAATTTGTTGCAGTGAAAATTTTCATCTTAATAGTTCTGAAAAGATTCTTCTTGATCAAGACCCCAAAACCATGCAGTATCATTTCTCAGTAGACTAGTTAAAGGACTTGTTAGTGTCGACAGACTTGGAATATATCTTCCCAACATTCTTCGTAACTCCGTGACATTTTCTGGAGACTTCACATCTATGATAGCTTTAACCTTCTTTGGATTAGAACGTAAACCTTCTTCGCCAACTATATGCCTAAAATATTCTAATGTTGATTTTCTAAAAATACATTTGGCTTTGTTTAGTTTTAAACCTGAATCTTCCGTTCTTTTCATTACCTTCTCTAAGTTTCTATCATGTTTTTTCTATTGTTCTGCCATAAATTATAACATCATCCATTATAGCATCTGTACCATCTAGACCATGAAGTATATCTGTCATGACACGCTGAAATATTTCTGGAGCGCTAGTAATACCAAAGGGAACTCTCTTAAAATGGAACCTTCCAAATGGAGTTATGAACGTTGTTAGTTTTTGACTATCTGGATGCAATGGCAATTGGTAAAATCTAGATGAAGCATCCAATTTGGAGAACACCGTCATTCCTACTATCGTAAGTCTTTCACGTTTGACAGCTTCATTCAGTCTCTTCAGATCTACACATATTCTTACTTTTCCTGTTGATTTTAAGACTGGTACCATTGGAGCACACCAATCTGTAGGTTTTGTAATCTTCTGAATGATATCATCATCTATCATGCGATTTAATTCTTCCGTGACTTTGTCAATTAATAGATAGGCAACTCTTCGGGCTGTTGAAACGCTGTAATACGCAACACTTCTACTTAATAGATTTGTAGACTCTCCCTTTTCTTGCTTTTGAGTCTTCGTCTTCGTCAGTTCAGATGTATAATTCCCTGTGATTTATACAAGATGTTGAGGTTAATGTTCCGGATTGTATCCCAGTGATTGATTCCGATATTATTCGCCAGGCTCAGAAGGAATGTAAGATAATGTAGGATAATGTGGTAGCCGTATTTTAATATATAATATTCATCATGTTTCTGTTCTTTATTTCTGAAGTATAGCCTTAAGTTTTTTTTCTTCCCTAGTTTATCAACGCTAGCTTTAAGTTTACAAGCAGAGTGAGCACTTTTCTTTATTTTTACTCAGTTTAAATTCTAATCACTCTCCTATATAAGACTTTCTTCCTTTTTTATTCTTCACTTCTGTCATTTCACTTAATATGGGGTGTTTGTGTTTGATGTCATCTTTGTTGGTAGGTTATTATTCTTTTATTTAATTTTAGTTTACACACTGGACAAATCTATTTTATTCAATGCATTTCTCCTTTAGCAATGTAATTTTGTAATAATTTATTAAGTTTAAAGCTGTTTTCATTAGCTACGACAGCCATCTTTTTTTCTTTTAGTAATCTTAGGCTTCATGGTTATTTAGCCTACACCTAATTTTGTACAAGTTTAAAATAAGATTGTTTATGTATTTCTTCAATTATACATTTCTAAATATGCATGATTTGTATTTTTTTTATTTATTTGTGTTGTATATATATCAAATGAATTTCTATTGCTTTCATTATTTGTATTTATAACAATTATTTATGTCTATTCAGAGTTATTTGTTTAGATTATTAATGAAATATATCGAACCCCGACCTGGAGTTTCATTGGTGTTGCACCTTTAAAACACTGTTACACAATCATCAAGATGAAATGTAATGTATGGTCAGGATATAAGTTCTATCCATGAAATACCAAATTTAGCACAAGATTATGATGAAATCTCGCACTAGTTCTCACCTCTAAATTAATGACTTATATATAGAATAATATTAGACTAGGGTAATGGCCTTCTTTATTTCCTAGTAGCCTAAATCATAATAAACGTACTGAGAGTAAGATATTAGTATTTCAACAGTTTTTGCCTAGCTAGAGTAAGCAACTGTTTAGCAGCCGAATTATCTGGAAACGTGTTCGAGCATAATGTACCAGGTACAACTCCCAGAAATATTCGGCAAAAAAACTTCCGGACACGTTTACAAGATAAAAAAAACTGATGAATTTAATGAAATTTTACAGTTTCTCACCATAATCCACTGGGTCAGAAAAATATTCACAATCTCTAGTTTTCCCACAAAGGCATAAGATTTGTTTATTGCTTCGAACCACAACTAAACGAAATTATCTCTTTATACTAGTTTACATTCTGATTGTGGAATACTATCTATTGGTACTACTTTTAATGTGGACATTTTTTATATGACCCAAACATGTTACTCCAAGAACATCAAGAACAGCCATGCATTGAATCTAAACTCTCTTCTATTCTTGGTAATGGGTAAGAGTCTTTGATTGTCTTTGAGTTCAGTTTTCTGTAGTCAACACATAATCGTAATACGCCACTTTTCTTTCGCACTAACACAATAGGAGATGCGTATGGACTGTAACTGGGCAATATCTTTTTCAATCAAACTATTGATGTGTTGTCGTACTTCTTCAAGTTGACCTGGTGGAATGCGACGGTATGGCAATTTAACTGGTACGTCATCTGTAGTGTGAATCTGATGTTTAACAAGAGAAGTAAAGCCAATATCATTGCTGCCTTTGCTGAATACATCATGAAATTGAGAAAGGAGTGATCTTAAGCGTGAACGTTGATTATCTGTCAAGAAATCAGGCAAAGAAACTGCAGGTATTTCAGGCTCCCATCTTTGACGATTGTCTCAGTTGAACTTATATCTCTTGCTTTATTGATGAAGATCTCATTATTGTCAACAGTAAAACGAACCTAATCAGAATCAATGGTACCTTCCATCAAAGTTCCTAATCGTGTGTGTGGTTGAATCCAAATATCTTCATTTGACATGTTTGCTACCTTCACTAAATAACGATTTCCCAAAGACATTACAGCAGTACTGCAAACAAGTAAGTTATTGGTAGGTGCGATTTGTTGAAAAGTTCTTGAATGATTTTTTACTTTCAGAAACCCTTCTTCCAGTAGTTACGACTGTAGTAAAAGAATTTGCCGGAATACGAACAGGTTGTGAACCAGCTACTCTTACAAAACCATTTATATCCTTGGTATCTGTAAAATGACCTCAACAGTTCAGAGGTTAAAAATTTTTCTCCAAAAGCATCAATCAAACCTTCAAATATTCTCTTGGTTTGCTCGACGAAGTTTTATTTCTTCTTTGGCTTCACCTTCCAAGTGAGAAAACACAAACTGTGCTTCTTCTTCCGAGGACAAATTTAAACTACCAATCACTGCCGAAATTTCTTCAATCCATTCATGAACAGTTGGATCTTCAGATCAGTACCTCGGTCTACCTCTAAACTTTTTAGTATCTCGACTCTTACCAAGATAAACTACAGGTTTGTTAGCAAATGAGGGTGAGTTAAAATTTGGACTAGAAAAACGGGGGACAGGTCTGTAAGGAAACCTAGGAGTAAATTGGGCTTCTAATTTACTTTGAGCTTATTCTTGTCTCAGACTTTCTATATCGTAATCTCTCTCTGAACGTTTTGTCCCTGACCAAATCCCTTGATTTACCGTTACAATATTCAAATACAATCAATTTGCAGATAAAAATGACTTTGGACAAAAACAATCAAAAAAATCATGAAAATTATCATTAAAGTAAAATTAGTGGTAAATGTCCCTTTAAATTATGAAGTGTCAAGAGAAAAGAGAAAATGTGCAACAAAGTTCCAAATGAATGTCAGTCTAGGATCGAAGAATGTTCTTGAAAACTCTTCTTGTCCATACTGCTAATATCCACCAGTAAACCACTGTTGATATTCACCAGGTAATAACAATGACCAGTTAATCACATCACTTTCACTCCACCAGATCAAAGTTCAAACATGAACAATTCAGCTAATCTCCAGTGTGGTCATACTGTGAAATATGAGCCATGGTATATCAACAAGTGCAATATCAAGGTATGGGATATGTGAAGAGGCCTTCTCTGTCACATATAGATAAAATTCGTTTTGTAGACGGTGATGGAGGAAAAGGACAACGTAGATTTTACACTCTCTCAGATCAGCAATTCTTCTGCAGTACTTGACACTTGCTCGAATAAGAAAATTAAAACTAAAAAAGCTGAAATTTAATTTCGAAATGTC